CCCCGTGAGAAGCTTGGTCCAGCACAGCGCCGAGCGACCGCCGAGAGCTGGCCGCGTCGGGCGCTGTTGGGCATGGCGAGCAGCGGGGGAGGCGCGGCTGCGGCGGCGCGGATGGACCCGGAGGCGGCGACGGAGCTGGCGCGGAAGGGGGTCACGCTCCTGCTCCTCGACGTGCCCCAGCACACCCTCCTCGGCCTCGACACCCAGGTAGTACGCCGCGCCTTGCACTGGCCGCCCCTCCGGTGGCTACGCTTCGATTTGATTTCCAGAGATTGACATCCGAGAGTATGCTGCTGATTCAGGTGTTCTCGGTCGGCCCCAGGTTCAGAGGGATCAAGATGGTGCCCCCAGGCCCGCACTTCCTCCACTACTGCTCCCCCAGCAGGTACGTCCCCAAGCAGCATGCTTGAGCAATATTAGTAGATATTTTTTTTACAGTAGTACAGTAGTACTGATTTGATGCACTAGATGAGGAATTTTTTTTACTGCTGGACAAGTATTAGTGATTTAACTGGGTAATCTAGAGTTGATGCAGACCCCGCTGTATCGACTGACACATTCATGCCAGAGTGGATCCAAACTTGCTTTATGGGTATACATGCTAGATTAGCAACATCATGCTGCCTTGCAATTTCCCCTCTTCTGTTTGACCCCTTGACCTGTTTCTGGGACATCCTGAAAACTGATGTCCACTGTTTAGATTTGCGAAGGCTCATGTGCGCAGTCTGTTCATTTGACTCGCATTTTCCACATGTTCTAATGATTAACGTTGTTCGGCGATGGGTGCTGCCATTACGCCGTGCGATATGATATCCCGTACTGACCGTTCCTCCACTATCTGCCATCCTTGTAGGCGCGGGAATGAGTTCGCCCCGACAGTCGGATTCTTTCTTACCACTCACCCATCTCAGGTACTCCCCCCTGTTCCGAAGCAAGCACATCACATTTGAAGTACTGAATGAAGTGTACACCATGTTCTTAGTCTGTGACTGTTCTTTGCACTGGGACCTGATCAGTAACTCAAAAAGGTTCAGATGAACTATTGTGTTGACCATTAAATTTGTTAGATCAATGGCTCACAAGGCCTTTTTTTCTAGAGTAGTCTGATATCTTAGATCTCTGCACTTTATCTGTCCCCTTCTATTGTGTACTACAGTATATCCAGAGTCAGAACTGATGCTATAACTTCTTAAACTACGGTTGCATCTGGAGTATATCTGAGTCTGAATTAGACAACTCACAATGCTCATTGGTATTTATGTGTCAAGCTTCACATTTCCCGTCTATACAGTGGTGGGTGAAAAATAGTTAAGAACACAATGCACTTGGAAGAAGAAGAGCCAAACAAAGATTTTCATACTGTGTTGGAAATTTCGAGCCATGGACAGGGCGTGGAAGCTTGCTATCCATGTGCCAGAACCATGGGTTGGTTGGGAGATCTTATGGTTTTCACCTCTAGCCTACCCCTACTTGTTTGGGACTAAAGGCTTTGTTGTTGTTGGAAATTTCGAGCGGTCTTAGCTGTCAGAGTTCTGATAATTACACAAAATTGCTTGTTTACATGTACTCATCTCCTGCCTATTGTTTCCAGGTGGTCGTTCGAAGATGGCATGCTCAAGAGGAGAGACTAGTGACACTATCAGAAGAGGAGGTGACATGTTTGATTATATTAGAATCTTTAACATATTGCAGCATACTTTATTGCTTTATCTCCCCATACCTTTGTAACATATAGTTCTCTTGTCTTCTTGCACATAGTACATCACTTGATAGTTGAGACTCTACTGGTATTGGCTGAGACAACAACTACTGTTGAAAGGCAATATTGCATTAGGATAACTATATTGCATTTTGCGAAATATTAGTATGGCAGCATCAGCTTCCTCAGTTGTTGTAAATCTTGTATTTGCGCCTTGCACTGTAACTGCAAAACTCTAGGTATCAATATTCAATATGTCTTGTAAATTTTAGAGCATTTTGTAACCTTACAAATAACTAATTCAGTTGATAATAAAACAGAAGATGCATTGCCCCAATGGGGTTACTACTTCTCTGAAGTGCCTAACCTACTGGATCTGCACCAGATGATAATTTAATATGACAAACTACATAAATTTTGCCTAATTTATGTTCAGCTTGTTTTCCTTACAGCTGGTTTATGAATAATATATGAAATATGGACTACCAGAACTGTATCTGTCCGGAGTCTCAAAATTGCAACATATTCAAAAAAGTTGACCTTCCTGTTATTGACTGTAACATACTCCTTCCGTCAGGAATTACTTGTCGCAGAAATGGATGTATCTAGAACTAAAATATGTCTAGATACATCCA